TGGGTTCCTTACAGGCACTTACGTTTAAATAGGGTAAAATGGTTTTATTAAGAATGGCTAACGGTCGTGGATATACGAATTAATCCAATAATTCTTAGAATAAAGGATAATTATCACGTGGTATTAAGATTAAAAAAACCGAGTTCCGCTATTGTGAGGTGTTCCCAACGGAGAAGGAAAAAGTTAGGGTACAGTAAATTGCCAGTGAAAGTATACTGTTGGTAAGAGTGAGAAATTAATCTTTTTTATTTAGGCATGCCTCTATTGAATTTGATATTTCAAAGAACATAAAACTTTCGTTAACTCGACAAAAAAAGCATTTAGACTCCCATGAGGCCAGGCTGTCAGCATTTTAAATGTAGCGTGACCTAAAGGAGAAGTCGAAAAATTTTTAATGAGTCCCTTGATAGGGCAAAGAAAATACGTAAGTCGGCTGTATACATATTTCAAATAAATTGGCGGCACACCTTAAATTAACAGACGCGCGATGGTCGACGTTATAGCATCGCAATTAACATCATTCTTTACTAGAGAAAGTGAGTCAGATCTCAGAGACGTTTTTCGTTTTTTGCTGCCGTCTCAATTTCGAGGTACTTAACTGGAGAGCAAAAAGGTGAAATGACATGTTGTCCTCTCTTTAGAACAGCTGAAGGAAGGAAGTACACCTTCCACCTAGTTACATATTCAGTTCACGTTTTGATGGACTCCACTTGAAATGTACGTCGCACCGCAGGAATGTTGATCATATATCGGACGCTATAGTTAGGCACAGGACAAGGAGCTCAATCAACAAAAACTGTGCAGTCAATGCCGTTAACTCTGCGTGGGATATTCCCTTGCACATTGATTGTTTTGAACGTATCACGATCCATGTCATCTCTCGGTATCAAGAAAGTTTCGTATCGATCTCTAAGTTCAACTTAAGTCGCTAACTCTGTTCCCCTTTTAGTGGGCACTTGAGTTAAATTGTGCACGTCATTTTTTGTCTTTTAATTCTCGTGCAGTAAAAACTCTGATGTAATGGAAAGCTCTTATTATTCTTATTTCAAGGCTTTTTGGTAGCACATGCTTTGAGGGGTTCTCACTGAGAGGGGCTCCCACAGATAGCAGACACAATGACACCTGAAGTTCCGAACACTGTTTTTTATTCGGTTTTAGAGTATACGCTCTGAGCCTCGAGGAGGTTTTTCTTTTCCCTTTTTCATTTTTAACAATAAATAAACAAATAACTCCCTAGGAACGAAAAGACATCCCTTGAGTGTTTTTCTTAAACATATTTTCGATAGTTTTGATTCGAAACCGTCAGATGAATTTACTTTTCCGCTTTCTTCATAGTTACAAACTTGCTGAGCCAGTGAATTCTTCCTCTTCCAATATATAGTATAGGCGAAAAAAATGTGTGTTTTCTGAAGAGCATAAAACACACGATTTACCAGCTTGAGAACATAAGAGTTTTTTTGAAGCCTGTAAAAAAGCTGACTCCTCCCCCATCCTTCTCCCGTAAAACAAAGCACACGAAAAAACAAACAAACAGATATTTTCTTAGTGAACAGTCGAACTCTTCTAACGCTGCGGGGCGTTAGATTATAAAATTTAATAGCTCCTAATTATAATTATAGCACGTAGAATTTAATATAGAAAAATTCCCTGAAATGCGTATAAACCCCACGTGAACGAGAGTAAAAAGAGATGAAAATGGGGAAATTAAATTATTTGGATAATACCTATTGCACAGAAAAGTTGATAAACAGTACATGCCTTCAGAGGAACAATCAATTAAATATGTATTAAGTTGTACTTTTTTTGTCGGAGTCGACAGAGGAAAAAATTGCAATGTCATCCGTTTTTGTCATGATATAAATAACGTGCAAGTACTACTAGATTATCGCGAAAATTCGTGGAATTGAAATTTTCCGAAGCACTACTTCTTCCTTCGCATATTACGAGCATCATTTCCAGATATATTCAGCGATGACACGTTTATGTATACCAAGCTTTGCTGATTGAAGTGAAATTTTCATTTGCAAAGCTGATGTTCTTAGAAAATGAATGATCTATCAATGGTAATCACCTATATAAACCGGAATAGAACTAACCAGGTGATTAATTTTGGGAAGCCCACTACAAAAGGCTCTAAATGAAAATATTTCTGTAAAAGAGGAAAAAAGTAGCATTTAAGATAAAGAGACGAAGCTTACTGGGATGAATAGTTTCCACATTGTTGCTAATCTTCAGTCCAGCTTACTCTCTTCTCCGTCTCCTTCGTTGCTTCCAGTGGTCTTCGCATTTTCGTATTGAAAGTTAGCATCATTTAGCTGGCTTTTATCGGCAAGTGTTTAGTCATATAATTAAACGCATTATTTTCAGTCTTCGATCTTCTTTAATACTTCCTACTCTATGATGGTATTGACATAGGATGTCAAAATAATAGGATGCAGTGTGATGTCAGCGATTTTTTTACTGTTTTTACTGAATCAGGCTTTCTTTGACCTGGCTTTCGCTGTTTCCAACCAATCTTGCGCATTTTTGTAAACAGCGTCGAGCATTGTGACCAGCTGCAGTAAGAGGCCTGGCTAATAGGCTACGAAGAAGATATGAAACGACTGCAAAATGAGAGAAAGTTGTCTTATTAGAATGTTGCATCATGACTTTCGATGAGACGTTAATCTACCATATTACACATCTTCAGTAAAACATTAGACACCCACGCTTGACAATGAGTTTTCAAAACCTTATAAATATAAGTATTTTTAGAAGTCAAGTCCAAGTATTTGGCGTAATGAATACATGCGTGCCACGATGGTTGGAACTGACGTAAGCAACTAAAGACGTAGCTGAGATGGTTAACAAACTGGCGTTTACGATTAAATAGGGTTAAATGGCATGATTAGGGATGACTCTCGGTTGTGGATATAGGAATTAATTAAAGAAATTAATTCGGGTAAATATGGATATTTATCACTTGGTATGAAGATAAAAATCAGTGTTACGATATATACTATTGTCATGGTGCGAAGGGGAAAAAGTCACCCTACGGTACGGAAGTTATATGTCAGTAGGACTGAGAAATTTACCTTTTTATCATTGAGCTTTGCCTTTATGGAATGCAATATTTTAGATTACAGAAAATACTTACAGCCAGCTCGTAAAACACTACCAACATCCCAGGGTGTCAGGAATCGAATGCTTGCGTGACTTAAAAGAGTAACCAAAAGGTCTTTAATGAGTCCCTTGGTAGGAAGAAACCCACGTAAGTCGGCTAGGTATTTAAATTGACAACACACTCCAAATAATTTTGCGGCATACTTCAAATAAATTGGTTCGAGAGGGCACAAAAAAGGCAAGCAATTAAGGGCTATTAATGTCGAGGACTATACTCACAATATACTCTCACGCGAAGTTAAGTATTGCTTAAACTCACCAGCGACTCATCAAAGAGTAAGAGACACCGCTTCATTGCTTTGTTCGCCTAAATTAGGTATTTCTGCTTTTCAATACTTTCTGCCTGATTTGGTGACCGAGAGTTTTCTTATGATTAGAAGACAATTTTGCAGGAATGTTTAGCCTTTTTTGAAGGAGCAAGAAGTAGCCATGATGGGACCGAGAGATTGCAGTGATGAAATAAATTAGTATCCATTTATAATTTCGTTTTAAAAACAAACAGCATTCTCGAATGGATTCTCTTTGTGATGGCTGTGACGTTTCTTTCTGATTTTTACATGAGTTTATCTGCTTCGTGGAGTTGGTAAATACCTCTCCTATTCCTACAGAGATAAAATCTGTGGATGAGCGCCTGCGCCTTCTCAGGTTCTTTTTCCTTTTTGTTTTGTTTTTATCTATTAAGTCATTTATCTCTATTTGTAGTTTTCTTCGTTATTGCTACTGCTTATTATGCAAGCAAGCGCTACGACATAATGACAGAGTATCATCAGAATGTTCAGAGCGAACTAGTTAATTCACAATCATGACAACAGAAATGAACGGATGAAGAAACAGGACAATATCAGTGTTATAGTGTGAGGATGAGAGACGAATTTCTCCAAAACGCGCTTTACATGATGGTCAAAGAAGTAACGATCGCAACTTACATTAGTCTTGAAAGCAAGTTGATCAGATCTCAGAAACACAGTTTTAAGTATAATGATACATGCAATTGTCGGTACTCGCATGCATGATTATAATCGCGCACTTTATGATCACAGAACGGAAGCAGATGTTCTCTTAGAAAAGGAAAAAGATGGAAGGACGTTTTTTCTTTCTTTAGACCAGCTGAAAGAAGGAAGTAGAAATTCCAACTAGTTACATATTCAGTTCACGTTTTGGTAGACTCCAAAGTACGTCTAACCGCAGGAATGTCGATCATACAGCGGTGAAAGGTAACACCTGAGTTTTTTCCTTGCGCATTGATTGTTTTATCATTTCACAATCCATGTCATTTCACAACTGTTCCTCTTTTAGTGGGCACTTAAGTTAAATTGTGTGTGGCACTCCTTGTCTTCGAATTCTTGTGCAGTACAACTCTGATGTCAAGTACTCACCTCGGGAAAAACCCTAATTACTATTAATTGGAGGTTTTCAGTGGCTTATGCTTTAAGGGATTCTCAAACAGAGCGGATTCCTAATGACACTAGAGTTCTAAACATTGTTTTAATTTACAATTTGGAACATGTGCATTGAGTTTTCGAGAGGTTTTTATTTTATCTGCTTTTGCTTTCCACAATAACTATTTTTAACCTAAAATAATCTACTAACTCATTAGAAAAGAAAAGACACCGCTGCGTGTCTTGCTTAATCATCGTTTCGGTAGTTTTGTTTCGAAACCGTCAACTATCTCTGTAATTACAAACTTGCTGAGCCAGTGAATTCTTCTTTCGACTAAATATATCGTTTAAAAATGACGTATAGTTCATAAAAGGAAGAAAAAGCCATTGGTGCACCAATATCGGCCAAAATTCAGACTACAAATTTAGTCGTCGACCACGCCAAAATTCAGACTGCAAACTTAGTCGTCGACCACGCTTTCACTGAATCGATCGCCGAGAACTTGAAGTCGTCAACTAGCAGTTACCCAGCCTTTGAACGATGTCTTCTAAAGCCCTTTTTGTGGTAAGTTTAGAATATATTTTGGACAAGTAATTTCCTTTGAACCAAGTAATTTACATTGAAATTAGATTTCATCTTTATATTTCCACTCTTTGTTTTTGTACAACAATCGCTCAAACTGACTGACAAATTTGTTAACTGAAAGCGTTACATACGCTTATCTAAAACTCAGTAAGAAGTGACTGTTGCACCTCCTGTTATTCAATGATAGCTCTTAACCAGAGGTAGTAAAGTTTATCTAATTTTTGAAGTTTGAACTAAGATCCATACAGTTGGGCAATTTTTATCAAACGCTGTTATTGACTCATCGTTCCCTTTTCTCATCGCATCATTCTTCGTGAGCAAGTAAACATGATTGAATCTTTCGATTGATGTGATGCCAAGTGTTTAGCAATTAAGGTAGAGGTATACAGCAGAATTAGTTTAAATAAGTGTCTCATGTTTACACACAAAAGTATTCCCACCTCAGATATATGTTTATTCGGCTGAGAAAACGAACACAGACACAAGACAAACACAGATAAATGGAATTAAGAAGCTTTGAATAAACTGAGGAACACCTCTTGAGTTTTGCAGCCCAAACATGTTGCCGAAAAAGTGATAACATTCGAGGTTTCCTCTAAAATTTCACTCTCTATGAACTTTTGATTTGACTCTGCAGATGAATTTCAGTTCCAGCCACTTATCGAAACGTTTGTCACTATTCCCAATAGCAGGCCTTTCCAGGACTACTCTTGTTAGAGATCACACAATGCGCTTAAATGCAGATTTTCATTTACTTATTTACAGATTGTCCTGGGGATCCTTTTAGCCAGTACTTGTTTTGTAATGTCGTCTAAAAGAAAACAAAAGTTAAAAACCTGGAGAGGTCTTGCAAAGTGTCTCCAGATAGCCGGTGCAGGTACTGTTCGACGCACAAACGCTTCCTTCGCAAGTGACGTTCTGCGCTTCATTCACCGGAATGGTTACCTCATCGTGCCACCATCAAATCCTCCAACACCTCAACAAATAATTGTACCGCCTTTATCAAAGACTCCTGGAAAGAACAGGAGAGACCTCCACTCCTCCGTTAAGCAGCGTAGTTCCGATAGATGTCCATTCAACATGACAGTTGTTGATTTTGTTAACACCGTTCCGAGGTTTCTGAGCAAAGCCACTTGTGATGGTTGTGATGCACGCTGTAAGCCCGTGATGTACACTCATCAGGTATTATTTAACAAATGCAGTGACTACTGGATGTGGACGGAAAAGACACTGGAAGTCGCCTTTGTCTTGTAGATGGAGGACTAACTGTTGGCTTTTTAACCAATTCTCAGTTTGTTATTTGATACATTATTCACGACATTTTGTTTTTATTTGGTAATAAACAAAAGTTTGTAATCAAAAGTCTGTGGCGTAGAAAAGATCTTTGTTTATCGTGATAACTGTACTCGCAGTTTAGTAAGCTATGTTTCAATTAGGTTCCATTTCAGAGAAGAGGAAAATCTGTTCGGTGACACCATGATCATGTAATTATCTCTGCCTGTCTTGATTTCTGTGCAGGAACCTTCTTGCCAACTACTCCTCGTGTATTTTCTATAATTTCTAGTTCATTTATCGACCATATTTTGGGACGAATTTACAGTGAGAAAAGGTGTACATCATTTTGAATTTAGCGCAATCAATCAATATCGAGGTGGCTGTACTTGTAGCCAAACTTTTACTTTTATCTACCACTTTGAAGTTTTAATGAGGAAGCTTACTTCAAACTTTAATTTAAGGAGAAAGCAGTTTTAAGATACATTAAAACAGAACATTCTTCAAATGTTGTGTTCCTCTCGTTATCTAACAATCTCTAAACTCGACGTACTTTCTTTGGAATTCTCTCATTTATCTTGACTTAAAATCTGCCGACCTATTCTTTCTAACTTTCATATTTCCAAATTTGCTTTAGTTTAGTCCGATTTTTATTTGGAATAGCATAAGACAATTCTGAAAAGACTCATCTTGAAATAGTAAAAATTGGGAAAGACAAAAAATTTAGGAGAAATGATAAGCATCGTTAATTTAATTCGCTTCGCACATATTACCTAATTTTCATATTTCCAATTTTGCTTTTATTAGTTTAGTCCGATTTCTATTGAGAATGGCGAAAAGAAATTCTGAAAAGACTCATTTTGAAAACAGTAAAAATCGGGAAAGACAAAAAATTAGGAAAAAGTATAAGCTTCGTTGTATTTAATTCGCTCCTTACATATTACCTAATTAGGACGACAATGGAATACTTTGCATCTAATTACAATCATCTGGCTTCAGGCATTTTCTTCACCAGATATATATATGAATTAAGTTAAACGAACTGCCGCCTATGAATATCAAATTGATATAGCATATGTTTATATGCTTATACAACTTAAAAGCTCAAAATTATACAGCAATTGACTTGTGAGCTTGCAAAAAATTTTTTGAAATCGAATTACCACAGGCATTTCCAAAAGCAGCATTGCTTACAGATGAGAGATCATCGTGAGCAATAGTAATGTTCTAGGTTTGCTATTACACATTGACGTGACCAACATAACGTAGGAAAATCTAGCCTATTCTTCTCGCTAAACCTATACGGGACCATGATGAAACGCACGGCAACTGAAGGGAAAAGAAAAGGAATAGGATGGTATTCAAACCTTTTAATGGAGCAAACGGCTGCCCAAAATACAAAAAAGTTTCCACTGAATTGAGTATAACTTCAGGGATTATGAAAAATTTAAGTAAAGAGAGCTGATATCAGGGAAATATTAGTCCCTGATGCAACCCACTCTCTTGTTGGTATTATCACGGGATGGATCCTGAGATTATAAGTAGGAAGTGATAAAGATAATCAAAACGGTGGCATGCAATAATATTGATGATATTTCACTATTTTTGTCGAGTCAGGCTTCTTAGGAAAATACGCATCGTCAATGGTTTTGCATTGCAAATCTTTGCTGTGTATGATTTCACTTGCGCTTTGTGCACCTATATTCAAAATGGCGGCTTTTTGTGACTACTGTGGTAAAATGTTGTTTCCTTTTAAAAGAGTCTAAATAAAAAACATTTTTCTGATTTTGAAGAAACGCAATCAGTAGATATTTGATTTTAACTAACTTAAATAAGGAAGAGAATTCACGTAACGCTTTAAATACCTGTGTTTGCTTATATCAATATTGACTTTAATTGAAAAGATGAAGTACTTGGCTATCTCAATCCATCTGAGAGTTTTAAATCAGGAAAACCTGATCTCTTCAGTAAATTTCCATCTCTGGCTACATTTTAGCTTAAAATTTGACGTTCTTTTTAAGAAAATAAAAGTATTAATATGCAGTGTTAAGGAAACTATTTTGAAAATTGTGCTAAGTAATGATTATATCATTGTTTATGAAGATACAGAATTATCGTGACTTTTTAAAATCTCTATGACAATATTATCATCAAACTGCAAGGCGATGTCGCCTATTACAAGGACTTCAAGTTTGGCAAAAACTTTTTAAAATAATTGCTGTAAAGCTGGCCCTCAGAGCCAGAGGCTACGCATCGAAATGTTTGAGTACAAATTTTCACATAAATAACTTGAAAAATGTATTGATTGAAAGACAAAACTGGGAGAGAGTTTTATGAGACTTGAGAAAATGATATTTGAATAAGAAAACAAATATTTTACAGAAAGTTTGTGTTATCCTCTGCTAGTCATAAAGCTGATCAACCCAACACCCATAGAAGAAATCACAAAAAAGGTTCATGTAAATTAAAATTTTTTCCTTTTTTTCGTAGCTGAAAACGACGCTTTTTCAACAAATTACCTGTGCAAACTTCAGAATCGATTGAAGATTAAAATAACTTAATATGAATACTGTTGATTTTACCTTTCCTTGTGAGTCGTATAGAAGGAAACAACTTGTACATTTGCATGAAAACTTGTGCACTTTGTTACCTTTTTCATGTCTTAGACAAAATGAAACTTGCTTCTAAATTTAATTCTTCTACTTAAGAGAATAACGATGGTTTACCCTTAATGGTCGACGTGATCTTTTTAATGCTTAAGTTGTAATTTTAAAGACTATTTGGACCACAGCATCTTAATTGAGATTTCTTCTTTTTCTAGGTTCCATTATTTTATTCACTCTCTTCGTTAATCATTTTCTTAATCATTACATGATGAGCCGGCTGAATTTTTTTCTTACTCTTCTTGGGGCCGGCATAAAGCCGAAGCAAATATCTTGAAAAAGTACAGTATCAGTTTGAAAGTATAGTTCATTTTTGACCTGTTCCAGCGGACAGAAAATAATGCAAGAAAAAAGAACCGAGATGTCCTGAGGAGACTGAGCCTCTTGCCTTGCGAAAGGGCTCCGTCGCTCTCTGGATTTTGAATTGAATTTCTCAAAGAATCTTTTAGTTCTTTCCCCTTCTTTAAACAATTTAAACGATAACTACCCCAACATCTTCTGTTAAACGCCGTAAGTACTAAAGCTACAAATTGATGGATTCGTTGAATTCCTGTTGCTAACGTTGCTATGTAAATGTTCTCAACTTTCGCTGAATTAAATTCCCACCATAATTCTTTACCTTACCGTGAATTTTGCCTGAGTACTGTAGAGAAGTTAAGGAATGTGCGTCAATTGATAAAGTTTGATGGTATTTAATCAGTAAAGAGATCTCTCGCAATAGCACGTTTTGCTCTAATTTTAGACCTTTTTACCCCCCCCAGCAGAAATCGATTCCTAAATAACTGTTCCTTTATCCATTCCTAAATAACTGACCTAAATTATCCAATGTGATCTAATGACTTGATTATGTGCATGTCTCTTGTCAATAACATACTCAGTAACAACGAGCGCAAGTAACCTCCAAATTCTCGATGTTTCTTTCATAAAATGCTAAAATGTTGGATTTATTAAAAAGGTCATCAAGGTGAATCTATTCATAAAGGAGTATGATCGTCTGGATTCGCGACGTAAGTCCATTTTATCATGATACTGAAATTTACGTAAGGATTCCAACTCATTTGCCATATCACTATTGAAAGTACAATTATTTTTAATCGGTGATTCGTTCCAATGATGAGGAAAACAATAGTTTCGATGAATTTAAAATGCAATCAAAGTCTTCATCAGTAAGATTAAATTAGGAAGTCTAGGGAAAACATTACAAGTCATGACAGGAACAAGTCACAGGTAATGTCAAAATACTTATCCGTTCTAAGTCAATGGTCTGGAAAAGACCTGCCTGTTAAATTTACAACTTATTATTGGAATATTCTTATACATTCTCTTTTTGTCCATTGTATTTTGACATGATATGCTTTTGGTCGACAAATACATTTAATAGTAATAACGCTCTAAGGAAATAATTCATTCATTTTCTTGTTGTCCGTCGTGATTGATTTGTCTCGCAACAGCTAATAGCAAACCCACAGGACAGATTCTTTTTAAGCAAATGAAGTCGTAAGTTGCAGTGGTCGGTCGTGGACAATGCAGCTTATTTTTGCATTCATGGTGCACTACAAGTGTGTTACTGAGGACTGTTTATCGAAAAGCCCACGAAAAATGGGTTACAAATCGTTACCGCAGAAAAACCTTGCACATTGAAATGAAGGTTTAAATATTTATTTGCACTGAATAAATGATGAGCCTGAACAGATTCTCATATTAAGTTTAAAGCCTAAAGTTCATTCGTCTTACATTCTTAATTTTTTTCTGCCATATAGTAGCATAATATGCTTCTAGTCATTCAAAAACTTTCAGTCATATCCATAATAAGGAGACAAAATAATCACTTTCCAGGACTTTTTCTTGATCGATTTGCGTCGCAACAGCTGA